TGAATTGAATGGTAATTGGGAGCAGGATGCTTGATCCAGAAAGGAGTCCCTGTCAACCTAGAAGGAGACCTGAACAGGGTGCAAAGTGCTAGGAAAAGTTTCTTCTGACCTAGAAAGAGGGTAAGAGCTAAGCATTTGATCCTGGAAGTAGTTCCTGCCAGCCTAGAATACAGGGGAGGGTCCCTTGTTCTTCAAGAAGAGATTCCTGCTAACATGAGTGCCTAGGTTCTGGATACATGGTTCTCCTAGCAAGACTGCCCACTGGCCCAGAAGTCAGTTGAGCTCCTGGTCTCCCAACAGCAGATTCTACCAGTCCAGATGCTGGCAGGACAGGACATCAGATCTGCCCCTTTGTACCCTGTTGGCCTGAGAAGGCAGTGAATGTATGCCTCCAAATGTGGGGATGGCATGTACTCAGCCCCTATGGCAGTTCAAGGACTGTGACGGAGAAGGCTGTCATCAGCTGCTGATTGGCTGGAGGGCAGCGGATGGCCACCTCTGTGGTTGTAAGAGGTGAAATAAGGAGAAGATGATGCCTGTTTACTGCATTCGGAGTGAACAGAGCTGCCCTGATCAGAGAGTTGTTTACAAAACTTCAAGATATCCGTGCTGTTTCATGCTAGCGAAAACTCACTGTTCCATTTCCCCTGTTTATTGTTTTCACTTGGTTTCCTCTATTCTGTGCAAATTAGTGAATTAAGCCCTTCATACTAATAAACACTTTTAAAATGTTTCCTTTGAAGTTCAAGGTTCTAGTTGCAGGTTTTGAATCCCTGTGCCTTTAATTTGGTTCCTCATGTCTTTGTTGCAGAAAATCTGAGCAGCTTGTCCTGAATTTGAAGGAAAATAGACTCAATTATACCACAGGAAAATGAAATGTAAATGGATCAAGTTTGCAGTGGACTTTTCATTTAACATCAAGAAAATGACCATCAACAAAATGCCATTTTCAATGAGAAATCATTTTCATTTCGAGATCTACATTTATTTACCAATAGGATCAAAGAGTGTGTAGTGTTTATGGAGTCTAATGTTCACTTAAAATCTGAGTCTCCCTAATTAGCCAAAATAATGGAGGATTTTTTTCCCTCCTCTGATAATGTCAAAGAAAGATTCTCAGACCTCACCAACCCATGAGAAACTGTGAGGGGTAAGCCTCTTCCACCTTAATGACGAGTGGTTTCTTGCTAGTTTTTGTTACAGGCATTATAATGGATGTGCCTCAAAAAGTAAATAATATTTATTCTTGTCTGAGATAAGGATGAATGCCGGGAATAGTGAAAATGCCTGCATTTCCCTGTTCAAGTCCACATGTTGGGGTAACAGCTGTTAAAATCTGCAGTGGCTTAAAGAAAGGAACATCCACTCGATTTGTCGGAATTTGAGTTTTTACCACTTTTTTACTACTTTTATTTTCTCTGTTGCCAGAGAGATATTTTCAGAACAAACATGACTATTGAAGTTTGGAAGATAAGTAGGGAATGCAAAAATATTCACTGAAACTTGACAAAACCCTCTCTTTTCCTTCACCTGAGTTTTAAAAGAATCCTTGAGCCTCCAAGCATAGAACAATTCAGAGACAGGCCCAAGGCATGTCAACCATTCAAAGTAACTCAGTCTTTGTGTTACTGTCTAGGCAAACAAAATAAAAATAGAGCGTACAAATGAACCAGTGTCCCCACTGCTGTAGGGTCAGTCCTGACTCAGTTGGGTTTCTGAGGTTGTGAATCTTTAATGGAAGAGATTGTGCATAGTTCTCCCATGGAATGGATGGTGAAATGGAACTTTAGCAGCTCAGTTCTACCACAAGGGTGAATTTTTAAAGTATTGCCCTAAAATGTGGTTCATTAAATTTTTACTAAAAAATGCCCCATCAAAGTGCTCAGTGCACCATCGTCCTGCTGGGAGGTGTTTATGGCAAAGTGAATCAGTTCATGATGCTTCTGAACGCAAGGGTTCTTTCTGTAGTTAGTCGCCAATAGACAAACAGACTGCAATATCTATAAATGCACTTTATTACACAGATCTGGGAGACAGCGAGTCACCTTTAAGACTGCCTCCCCGTCTGGGAGTGGTCATGGCCTTATATACTAGGGTGAAACTCTAGCTCATTTAACAGTGCACTTTTGTTAGTTAAAAAGATAATTTCTACATCTGAAAAGGACAGTTCCCATCTATGTATCAGTAATTCAGGAAGGCCCCAGTTCTCTTCCTGGTAAACATGCAGATTAAGACACAGTTTACATATGACTGGAGAACCAGCTTCACCAGGATCTAGGATAGATGCATTTCCTCTTCTGGTAAACAGACAGATTAAACTACATGACTAAAGACAGGAAACAGTGAATTCAGAGGCTAAGCAACTAGTTTTGCAGGCTGAAGAAAAAATAACTATAGTTTTATAATTGATACCTGTATAGAGGATTCTGAACTTATTAATATCACCCTACCAATGAGAGGACTGTCTGGGATAAATACAAAGGGATTATGTGATGGCTTTGATTTGTTCATTCTTTACAAGAAGCAAGAAGTGGTTTACACATAGAATCAATCTTGGAGGGTTAACAGAGATGAGATAGAAGGTTGTTGTTGTGTTGTTGTGTACTTTACATGAGTAAAGAAAGGAAACTAAGAATTCTAAAGCCAAGTAACTAGTTTTGCAGGCTGGAGAAAACTGATGTCAGTTTTACAGCTATATAACTACAGTTTTACAACTGATCTATGTAGAGAGAATTCCGAACTTATTAATACCACCGCATCACCAGCTGCTCTGTGAGAGAAGGACGGGCAATCCCTTTCTGTTCGATTAACTGCCTCTGAAAACCCACTGGAGGACCAGCTGTGGGTTGGTTCTGACTCTGCAGTACTAAAAAACAACAAATATATATACTAATTATGTTCGTTATTTTTTTCAGTCACTACATTAATCAGACCTTCATAATGTAATGATTATCAATTTAAATATAGCAGGCCACGTAAGAATTCAAATTCCAGGCTAAGAAGTAGAGTTATTTATTCATTATAGAAGTTCTACATTCATTCATTCTCTCAAACTGTGGCTGACTCTGAGAAGATTGGGAATCCCAGAACACTTGATCGTGCTAATGAGAAACCTATATATACTTGGACCGAGGGGCAGTCATCAGAACAGAGCAAGGAAACACTGCATGGTTCAAAACTGGGAAGGGCATGCACCAGGGATGTGTCCTGTCTCTATACCTTTTCAACCTGTATGCAGAACAGATTATCCAGGAGGCTGGGCTCTAAGAGGAGGAATGTGGAATCAGGATTGGAGGAAGATCTATCAACAATCTGCATTATGCAGATGACATAACCCTGCTTGCTGAAACTGAGGAGGACCTGAAACGCTTGCTGCAGAGGGTCAAGGACTGTAGCCTTCAATATGGATTGAGGCTCAATACCAAGAAGACAAAGATTCTCAATTGGCAGCATCAGGATGGATGGTGAAGAGATTGAGATTGTTCACAGCTTTAGTTTCTTGGCTCCACAGCCCACACTCTTGGCACCAGCAGCCAGGAAATTAAAAGACATATTGCCATGGGAAAGTCTGCTTAACAGACCTCTCCAAAGCACTGAAGAGCAATGGTGTCTCTCTGGAGACTAAGGTGTGTGTGATACAGTCTTTGCAATCACTTGTTATACGTCAGAGAGTTGGACAATGACTAAGGAGGATAGAAGGAGAATTGATGCCTTTGAGCTGTGGTGCTGGAGAAGAGTATTGAGGGTACCATGGACTGCTAGGAAAACAAACAGATTCGTCCTGGAAAGGGTTAAACCGGGTGGTTCCTTGGAGGCAAGGATTCTGAGTCTCCGTCTAACATACTTTGGACATGTTGTGAGGAGAGACCCGTCCTTGGGGAGGGACATCATGCTTGGGAGGGTGGAGGGACAGCGCAGGAGAGGAAGGCCCTCTATGAGGTGGATTGATTCAGTGACTGGGATAATCAGGATGGGAGTGTCAGAGACAGTGTGATTGGCACAGGACAGAGCAAAGTTTGGGACTGTTGTATATAGAGTCGCTATGAGTCACAAGCGACTCGACAGCACATAACAACAACAACATTCATTATTGAAGATCTGCTGTGTGAGGATGGCAGAGGGTAGGACAGGGTCTGTTATTCACAGTGAGTCGTACTCACTCAGTGGCACCTAACAACTATTATGGACTTCCTTAAGCAGTGGGAAATCAGAGGTGAACAAGATAGTCTAAGTCCTTATCTCCAAGAACCCAGAGATTAAAAAACAAACAAACCTGATAACAAATCAATTCCATAACCACAGATACGGTAAGTTCTATAAATGAAAGTAAGACTTCTGAACAACTATCACTGTTTGCATTTTGTTTTAGGGAAAAGTGCTATTAGCATCGGGTCTTCTGCCTCTGTAAATGAGCCAGGCCTAAAGGATGTGGTCCTGAGATTGCAAAGAAAGCTTTATGGAGATTGTGTTAGATTTCTTTTGCTCTCACAGCCAACCACAAAACATGGTGGCCTAAAACAACACAAATTTCTTATCTCAGTTTCTGCAGGTCAGGAGTCCAAGTGAGTTTGGCTCTGTCCTCTGCTTAGTTTCATAGGTGTTAACTCAAGACTGGTGGTTACTCATCTCCTTACTTGGAATAACTCCTGAGTTCATTCAAGTTGTTGCTGTTTCTTGCAGTTGTAGGATTGAGGTCCCTCTTTCTTTGCTAGCTAAACATGTTCCTTCTCATGATTTCAAGTTCCTTTCCTCCTGTGTTTTGACTCTACTTGACTACCTCATCTGCCCCCAGCCAGAGGGGAAACTCTGTGCTATAATAGCGCTGGGTGAGACCTATCTGTCGACTCTTCTTACCTAAGTCTGAAACCTTAATTACACCTCCAAAGTTTCACATGCTATGTACCACAGATAAACGACATTATTTCAAACAGTGGTTTCTGTTTATTCATCACAAAAAGATCTGCACGTAATGACGCTGAGCTATTTTTTCCTCTTTCTAGGACGTTCAGTTGGCCAGGAGATTATATGATATGGCTGCTCAAACAAGTCCAGATGCACATATACCCGTTTTCTTTGCCCTCTTGAAACTGGAAACTCTACATTTCCTCCAAGATAACCTGTTTAACGTAAGCTTGTCCCAGGTAGGCCTCACTGAAAGCATTATTAGGTAAATACTACAGACAGTGAAGATCCCAGAAGTAATCTTTTATAGTTTGGCTTTCTGTTAATAAGTAGAATTCAAAATTGTATAGTCACTATGCAGCCAAGTCTGCTTGTGATACTGAATATGTGTTCCTACTTCATAGTACAGTCAAAGGAAAATATTTAGCATATTTTTTAGCATCTTCTATATGCAAATCTGTTGTTGTTGTGTACTGTAGAGTCAGAATCGACCCATAGCTCACTCTCCAGTGGGTTTTCAGAGCCAGTTAATCACACGGGAGTAGATTGCCTGTCCTTCTCCCATAGAGCAGCTAGTGGCCTCAAACCACATACCTTTTGAATTGCAGTGCTGCTTCTTGACTATGCAAAGGCATCTGACTGTGTTATCACAATAAATTGTGGCTAACCTTGAGGGAAATGGGAATCCCAGAACACTTGATTGTGCTTTTGCAAAACTTATACTTGGACCAGGATGCAGTCCTCAGAACAGAGCAGGGAAGCACTACATGGTTCAAACTCTGGAAAAGAGTGTCAGGGGTGGATCCTATCTCCATACCTTTTTCAATCTATGTGCAGAACAGATCATTTGGGAAGCAGGCCTTTATGAGGAGGAGTTGGATCAGGATTGGAGGAAGACTCATCAACAACCTGTGTTACGCAGATGGCACAACTTTGCTTGCTGAAACTAAAGAGCACTTGAAGTGCTTGCTGCAGAAAGTCAGTGACTGCAGTCTTCAATATGGATTGAGGCTGAACATCAAGAAGACAAAGACTCTCACCACTGGGCCAATTGGCAGCATCATGATAGATGGAGAAGAGATTGAAGTGGTTAAAGATTACAGCTTACTACAATCAACACTCTTAGCACCAGCAATCAGGAAATCAAAAGATAAATTGCATTGGGAAAATCTGCTGTCAGGGACAGTACTGGAGACTCAGGTGCACCTAATCCAAGCCATGATCTTTGCAATGATTTGCTATGCAGTAGAGAGCTGCACAGTGACTAAGGATGACAGAAGAATTGATGCCTTCAAATTGTGGTGCTAGAGAAGAGTCTTGAACACTGAAGGCTAGGAGTTTGAAGCTCCATCTCACATACTTTGGATATGTGGATAAAAAAGACAGGTCCTTGGAGAAGGGCATCATGCTCAGAAGGGTGGATGGACAGTGCAGGAGAGGAAAACTGGATGAGAAGGATTGATACAGTAACTGGGGCAGTGGGGGTTGGTGTGTTGGAATTAGTGAGACTTGCTCAGGACAGGGAAGGCTTCAGAGGTCGCGATGGTTTACAGGTGACTCAACAGCACATGTTGATAATCACACAACGTATTAAAAAACATGTACTATGTATATTTGGTCAAAACACAGGTTTTGCCATCAAAATCAGACACGAGTAAGCAGATGGCAGGTGGCAAACAGAACCACAGAAAAATATAGTTGGAGAAAAGAAGTTATATTTGTACGAGTCTTTACAACTAATCTAAAGGTTGAGCCATCTGTAAGAATTATAAACAAGAGAAGATTTCCTCTTCCAAGACTGAAGGAAGTAAATGGTGGGGTATGTGTTGTTGAATAAGTGAGGTTAGGGAGGTGGGACTAAGGAGTAGGATAGATGGTCCTAAAAGGAGACAGAGGCTTGTACTTTGTACTGATGAAGGTTTTTGTCTGTCTGCAGATTACAACAAGGTGGAAAATGATGACAGTGGACAATCCCCTAGGACCATACTGGGATTTATTTGTGATCGGCCTACTTGTTGCCTCACTTATCATCTTGCTAAGAAATCAACGTGGGTAGTATCTAGATCATGGGAAAGCTTGCTCATGAAAATCAGTTCTCACCAAAGCATCCTAATGAAATAAAGAACTTCCTCACCAAAATCAATAGTCTTCTCTAGATTGCCTACGAGGCCTGTGCTAGAAAGCAGACAAAATTTGAAATCACAAAGAAACCACTTCAGAAGTTCTGCTTCTTGAGTTGACCACTCATAGGAGACTGAAACAGGCCATCTAAGAATGAATGATTTAGTGGTGATCTCTCCTGGGTTAGGAAGGGAAACACTCCCCATTGCCATGTGAGGGAGCTCTGGTGGCATAGTCTGAAGGGAGCTGTGCAAAGGCTAGACCTCCAGTGGTTCAAGTCCACCAGCAGCTCCTCAGGAGGAAGATGAACAATGGATGAATCTCATCTCATCTTATGCTTAGCTTTTCTACTCTCTGAATCTCAGTTTCCTAGTCAGTAAAATGGAAAGATAATACCTACCTGTATTATGGATTTTTAAAAATTGTAACTTGAGTGAAAGTTAATACCTTCTTCTTTGTTGTGTTAGTTGCTCCCAAGTGAGTCCTTAACTCATAGTGACTCCATATGAAATAGACTTAGAGTCCCCTGGTCTTGTACCAGATGTTGTGATTCACAGGCCACGTTGGCAGCACAGCCATAGGGAGTTGTGCTGTTTACCCGAAGGCTGAGCCTGACAGTGCAAATTAACCAGTGGCTTTGCGGGACAATATGAGCTATGTCCCCTGTGCCATGTGCAGCCTCTGAAGACCCATCCAGTCGGCAGCTATGAGTTGCTTCTGACTTGACAGCAGTGAGTCTGAGTTGTGATCCACAATGTGTTGTGTGGGTTTGTTTGGTTTTTTTTTTTAAGGTATTTTTTTAAAAAAAGTTTATTTATTTATTTGTTTAATGTGTACCGTCAAATCGGATCTGACCGGTATAGGAAGAGATTGCTCCCTCCTTCTCCAGCAGAGCATCTGGTGGATTTGAACCGCATACCTCTGGGATTGCAGTGATCCACAATGTTTTTATTGACTGATTTTTGAAAGCAGATACCCAGGCTTGCTTTCATAGTCCATCTTTGAGAACTCTGTTGAAGTCTATCTGGCACCAGAGTAGCGTACATCCTAATAACTACTGCTGGACAGATGATAGCTGCTCACAAGGTTCACTGCTGAGAATCGAACCCAGGCCTCCACACAAAAAGAGAAAATTCTACCACTGAGCCACCACTGCCTCATAATACCTGTCTTACAGAACTGGTTATGAGAAATTAAATGAAATGACATTGACATGCACAAAGAAGCTAAAAGAAAGCCTGGAGCCCAGAATGAATTCTGTAAGTGGTAACATTTAGTGCCACTTAAAAATTCATAGAAAGCCAAGTGTAATATGATGACATTTGAGTAGATAATGAGTGGGGTGGCATCCATGCCCTACAGTTAGTCTTCCTTTCAAAACGCTGGGTGTTTCAGTGGGAGGGGGAATCCCATTTGTATATTTAGAAAAATCCATCCTAAGGACAGGAGGAGATCTAATTTCCAATGTCAATCATAATCAGAAAGTGTAATGAAATTATGGAAAATCTCTGAGTTTGAAACCAAACAACTGATTTGAATACTGGCTCTGTGCCTTTGATCTGTGACGTGGACAAGTAACTTCTCCAGTCTCAGTTCTTCCTCCATATAAAGAGATTGATACCTACTTTCCTGGAGAGGTTTGATGTTCAAAATAAGTCTAACTTATAAAGTACATTAACCACAGGTACACATATTTAAAAACATCTCTCATTGCTGTCAAGTGACACTGACTCATAGCTGACCTTCCTTAGGTTTCTGAGGCTGTGTGTCACAGGAGAGGAGATTGCCCATATTTTTCCTTCAGATTATCCAGTTATTTATTTTGGTTGTCAGCTCATAGCAGGCAAGTCTGAGGTTTAAGTGTTGAGAATTTCTTGGACACAGTCCCCATTTCAAAAGGTCCTCCAACTTCAAAGGACCCAGCGTAACCTATATAAAGAATAAGCAAGGATCCAGCCTCAGGCCAGGGCCTAATGGATAGGCCAGCTCTGTAATTTTATCTCAAAGGCTCTAAAATGTGATCACATCAGAGGTGAGGATAAGAGCAAAAAGAAAAGGGTAGAAGACAGAGTTCTGGTCCAAAACTAAATAAGAAACAACACTGACTATAACTAAAAGATCCTCAGAGGTAAGGTTTTTGAAAATAGTTGTAGGCTAGGAAAAAGAGGAGTCTTTTTATGGTTTGTGTAGAACAGAACACTATAAAAAAATACAGAAGAGTAGTATGAGCTTATAAATTATTTATTCCAACTTTTAATTTTAACTAAGTATGAGAAATGGAGGAAATTTTAAAAGTACAAGTGACTTGGGGTCTTAAAGTCACTAAAGTGCCCATCCTCAGGCTTCTCTTTGGATGCAGTGCCTACCACCATGGAAATGGATGAGCAGCTGACCAAGGCAGAAAGAGCTTATTCTTTTAAGCAATATATTTTCTGATTATGACAATTCCATCAACTCCATAGACCTGTTAGTTTTCTACTTCTGGTAGCTTTTAAATAAAAAGTGATAGTCTGTGGATGAGGATGTAGTTTTTTGTCTAATTCTTTTTGTCATTTCACCATTGTGAATTTAATTCTGTTTCTCCCAAAATGTGTGTCAACTTAGCTTGTTATGATTATCAATATTAGATAATTATCCTCCATTTTGTAATCTGATGCAATTATCTTTTGTGTTGTAAATCCTGACCTCTTTGACGTTATGAGGCAGCAGCACAATCTACAAGTGAGGGTGTATATTGAGTCCTTATCTTTTGGGCTATAAAAGAAATTAAATCATAAGTAAAGAAAAGAGAAACCCACTCCACCAACAAAGGAGAGCTTGTGCTCTGAATGCAGGGTCCCTGGGCTAGGAACCTTCTAGAACCAGAAGCAAAAGCCTTCTTCTAGAGCAAGATTCTGAATTCTAACATCTAGCCTCCTAAATTGTGAGAGAAGACATTTCAGTTTGTTTAAGTAACCCTCTTAGCAAGTTAATGGCATTTCAATTGGAGTGGCACTACATAACCAAGCTGTATCCTTTTTCTCCTTCCCTGATGCTTTACTGAACTGGAGTAACTAAGTCAGTGCATTTTCTGGAAGTCACGTCAGGCACAAAAAGATAAAAATTGTATGATAATACGAATACAACATATACAGAAAGCCAAGTATATAGAACCAAAGTCCCTTACCACCTGCAGTAGGTGGCGAGGGAGACATGGGAAATGTTGAGTAGGTTGTTAGTGCTAAAATGTATTAGTTTATCATATGATTTGTGAATTTGACAACACTTAGAGTTAGCCTGGGTGTTGTACCTGAAGTGAGGCAGTATAAACTCTTCCATCTCAAAGAACAAAGAAAACGAGGGAAGTCTATGTCAGTTAAGCATCAAACAAAGATGGAGAGAATGCACAGAATCACTGTACCAGAAAGATTGACATTGATTGACACTGGAAAATTTTAGGAAGTACCATATGAGCAGGGGCCAATGGTAATGAAGGAGGAAGTGGAAGCTGCACTGAAGGCACTGGCAAAAAATAAGGCCCCAGGAATGGATGAGATACCAATTTACTTGTTTCAATTAACATTATGCAGCCTTGCATACACTCAGCAGTCTATGCCAGGAAATTTGGAGGACAGCTGTATAAAAGACGGAAAAGGAGATAGAAGGTGGGGGGCTGAGGGTGGTGAGGCAGGGAAATCAGGGGGTCACAGAGCTTGGTGGGTGGGTGGAGGGGGTGAAGGAAGTAGGAAGGATCCAGTGGGGATCTGAAAAGATGGGAGGGGACATAGATCAATGGTGACTGGCTTTATAAGACACAGTGTATGGGAATGAGTGTAAGAAGCACAATGTGAATGGGGGAAAATCAAATAAAAAAATGGGACCATTACTGGGTCTTTCATGTCTTCATCATCATTTATTCATTCCTTGACTAAACTTTTAAAATGACCATTTGTAAGTATCCTTGTACTTAAAAAACACATCTCTGCTCCAGATGCATAAGGATGGAGGAAAAACTGTTTATTCTTCTGAAAAGCATCCAGATCCTTCTAAAGGGCAGTAATTCTCACAAGACTGTAAGCCATTTACTACTGCACCAAAATTAAAGGCATTAATTCTCAAAAGTCTGTAAGCCACTTACTACTGCACTGCATTTACTAAAAGCATCTGCTTTTTAATTAGAGAAATTAAATGTTGGTGTTTATAAAGCGCCAAAACAAGGCATGATCAATAGTAAAAACACTGGGTTATCTATGACTATCTTAAATCCCAAGCAGATATTTTATCAAATATTACTATCTTTGAAATCAGGGTACAAGTTACAATGAGCACAAGTTAGAACTGGAGAAATGGTGTATAACTAGTTTTGTTTCCCTTCATTTGACTCTGCTGTTATGTGCTGTTGAGCCATCCATGACTCAGAGTGTCCAAATGAACAAGAGTCAACCCTTGTTTCCCTGCCTGCACCACACTCACAGTATCCACCATGCACAAGACCATCGTGGCAGTCTCTGTGCCATTCTATCACCAGAAGAGTCTCCTTCTCTTTCTTTGACCCTCTACTTTTTCAAGCATGATGTCTTTTTCCAAACACTAGACCCTCTGACAAAATGTCCAAAGTATGTGAGATAAAGTTTGATTATCTTTGCCTCTAAGGAGCACCCTGGATGCACTTCCAGACAAGTTTGGGAATCACATCAATAATATCATCCATGGAAATAAATGAAAGACCAAAATGGATGTAGATGTGACTCCAAGATGCAGTAGAACGTAGAAAGGCCAAAACAGAAGAAATACAGAAGGAAGGAAAATGGGCTAAAGTAAGAGAGATGGACAGAAGATTTCAAAGGAAATCTTTCAAAGGAAAACAGTTCAAAAAAGGCAAAGCAACATATTATAATGAAATGTGCAAAGACCTGAAATTAGAAAACTAAAAGAACATGTTTAGCATTTCTCAAGCTAAAGGAAACCAAGAAAAATTCAAGACTCAAGTTGAATAGTAAAGGATTTTATGGGCAAAATTGTGAATGATGCAAAAAACATCAAAAGAAGATAGAACGAGGGATGGATAGGTGAAGAAAATGGGAAGGATCTGGTCTGTTTTCACACCATGTGTACAAACTTCATAAGCAAACCAGTACAAAATAAATATTAAAAAATAAGAGATGAAGGAATACACATATCACTGTACCAAAAAGAATGTGTTGACACTGAACTATTTCGAATTATTGTTGTTGTTAGGTGCTTCCAAGTGTACTAGGAATCACAGCAACTCTATGAACACCACATCTAAAACTCGCCCTTTCTTGCACTATCCTCACGATCTCTGTAATGTTCAAGTCCACTGAAGAGGTCAGTGTGTCAATCCATCTTGGTAAGGGTCTTTCTTCCTTTAGCGGATCTTCTGCTTTTCCCAGCATCATGTCTCTCTCTAAGACATGTTCCTCCTGGAAAAACACCCAAAGTACATGTTTTCAAGTGTTTTTCACCTTCCATGCCCCTACAGAGTGCTCTGGATGCTATCCACTGCTGTTAATTCACAGCAACCCTATAAATGTAATTGTATCAAAGAGTTTCCAAGGCTATAAATCTTTTTACAATGATAACTGCCTCATTTTTCTCCTGTGGAACAACTGGTAGGTTCAATCCACTTTTGATTGTGCTTATGTGAAACCTATACTTGGAACAGGAAGCAGTTGTCAGAACAAAGAAAGGAAACACTGCATGGTACAAAATTGGGAAAGGTATACTCCAGAGCTGTGTCCTGTCTCCACACCTTTTCAATCTATATGCAGAAAAGATTATCTGCATAAAAAGACTCTTGGCCAGGAACACTCCAGCAGCCAGAAAATTAAAAGATGCATTGCGATGGTAAAGTCTGCTGTCAGACAAAGTACTAAAGGGCAATGATGTCACTCTGGAAACTAAAGTGTGCCTGATATAAGCCAGGGTCTTTGCAATCACTTGCAATGCATCAGAGAGCTGGACAATGACTAGGAAGGATAGGAGAACTGCTGCCTTTGAGCTGTGGTATTGGAGAAGAGTGTTTAATATACCATGGATTACTAAGATAACAAACAAGTTCATCCTAGAGAGGGTTAAATCAGGCTGCTCCTTGGAGGGAAGGATTCTGAAGCTTCATCTGACATACTTTGGGCATGTTGCAAGAAAAGACGAGTCCTTGGAGAGGGATGTCATGCTTGGGAGGATGGAGGAACAGAAGGGGGTAGAAGACATGGGAAAGATCCAGTATGAGAAACAACGTATACAAGCTTTGGAAGTAAACAAGTATAAAATATCTTACTTAAAATAAATGACTTCCAAGGGGAGCTCTGGTGGCCTAGTGGTAAGGAGCTGCAACTACAATCCCAGAGGCGCACAGTTCGAATCCACCAGATGCTCTGCCAGGGAAGGAGAGACAATCTCCTCCTGTACCAGTCAGATCTGATTTGACGGTACACTCACACAAAAATAATAAAATAAAAAAAAATAAAAATAAACTACTTCCAAAGACAGTGACTTAAAATACTGATATTTCTTGGGTGAGGGATTTAAGAGCAGCCTAGCTGGGTGAGGTTTGCTCAGGGGTTCTTTAGACACTGCAGTCAAGATGTCAGCTGGGCCTGCAGGCAGAGTTTGACTGGGACTGGAGGATACCAGCTCCTCACCTCTAGGTCCCTACACGGCCTGAAGGGTCTTCATGATGTGGCTGCAGCTTCCCCCAGAGTGAGGATCCAAAACCATGAGAGCGAAGAGTAAACCATGATGACTTTTATTACTTTCTCTTTATGGGATAGTCCACAGAAAGTTGCCCTTCTAACCCAAAGGCTGTGTGTCCCCAGGGGCTCAAGTCCCCCAGAAGGCAGTGCAGGGGAAAGGCACGTCATCGCCTCCGCAATTTTCAGCTTTAGAAACCTGCTGGAAGGTCCCTCTCACCCATAATCAACTTTACAGCCATCAATGTGACTGGTTGGTTTTTTCAAAGATAGAATGAAGCAATCACTGTCCTGAATAATATGTGCAGAAAATCCAACTGGGAATCTCATCTACCAGGTAAACTTTCAACAACACAGTAAAACCTGCAAAAGCCAAAACTAGCCTAAGGCAGAAACCTGTCAGAGAAGAACCCAAATTCAGTATTTTCCACTAGTAGAAAGCAATGGAAAAGTGGTAAGATTGCACCTTGTCAAAAACAGAAAACGTAATCACCAGAAATTATGGCTGTGTGAAGCTGCAGCTTTCGTAAGTCTCTCTGCATTTGAAGATAAAAAGATGAGTTTTTAGTCGGGCTTTCTCTCCTGCCACACTAACCACACAGCAAGGCTCTACAGAAGGTGCAAACCCTCTTACCTTATTCATAGCAAAGAGGAAAACTTGTGTTAGTTTGATATTAAATATTCCTAGTAGTTACCACCATTATCCTAAACACAACAAAAATCCTAAAGAGCCTAGCAACTTGCTCCCCCCTCATCTCTTAACTAAAGTCCTTCCACGAAAACACTCGAAGTGTGAAAATCAAAGAACTAAATGCCCCATGTGCAATGTTTACCCATTAACTCAGGCACTTACATATGACCTAGCTGTGAATTTTTCAGGGAAGTATTTTCTCTTCGCTGACACAGCAAATAATGTACTCAAGTCACTTAAGAACTGTATCCTCACAAACATTGAAACCATGTGAAACTGAAATATTAAATAGATACAGAATTAAGCGAATGAATTACTAAAGTCTGCAGGGAAGTTCTGATGGACAAGTCCATATGCAGGTGCACTACCAACCCCAGGCACCACCACCTCTCTGGTGGTTTGAATTCACCAGCAGCTGTGTGGGAGGAAGGTGGGAGATTTTTTCCATTCTGACAGCTTCTGAAAACCCACTAGTGCATCAGCTAGGAGTCAGTTCTGACTGGACAGCAAAGAGTGAAGGAATGACTAAAATCCATTAGTTAGAAGTAGCTGAGTGGTTTCTTGATTCAAAATAAAATTATTTTAGATCTGAAAGTGCTAAGAGGACAAACAGGTTCTCCCTAAAGAGGGTGCAACCAGGCTGCTCCTTGGAGGGAAGAATTCTGAAGCTCCATCTGACATACTTTGGGTATGTTGCAAGTAGGGATCAGTACTTGGGGAGGGTGAAGGGATAGCACAAGAGAAGAAAACCCTGGATGAGATGGACCAACACAGTGAGAAGGATAATGCGGGTAGGCGTGTCAGAGACAGTAAAGTTGGCTCAGGATAGAGAAGGGTTCAGAGATGTTGTACACAGGGTCGCTAAGAGTCATAGGTGACTTGATAGCACATAACAAAAATAACAACAATGACAGTTCAGACTCCATTAGTAGTAAATCAAGGTTTTATTTTCATTTTTTCTCCTGTGACACAAGACTGTTTATTTTTCCTAATTCTCCAAATGACATGGTTGCAGAACCTCTCTCAGCTGGTTTTGCCTGAAAAGAATAAACATTAAAGACATTAGAAATAGAGAAATACACACTACGAATCAAGACCATCAAGGCTTTCTCACATCAGTAATTCCTACCCTTAGTTAACAGACACATGAAAATATAAACTCACTGAAAGTGATCTGTCTTAACGTTACCTGTGAATCATGATATTTCCATCCTATCATGTAATAGATCTGATACGTGGCAGGTAGTGAACCATCCTCATTTCTGTACATTTCTAGAAAAGCAAATAGTGGTTTAGTTAAAACACTGGAAAATAGAAAAAAATATCTGCTCAGCAAAAGTGACTGCAGAATTCTGAAAATGCAACCTATGTCAAGTCCTCAATATTCCAAAGTAACAGTAAAGAGGTAACAAACTCTGTAGAAAAGGGTATGGAGCTCCAAGATCTACGCTCTGAGAAGATCTACATTCTGAGAAAGAAGGTCAAGGAGTAGAAATAGTGAAAGAATACAGAAAGTCTGAGGGTGCTGAGACAGGAAAGGAGGTATTATCAGCAACTGGAAGGCACCCCTACGGCACAGCACAAGGTCATCCAGAGGCTGCTTCACTTACCCCTGTAGACCGCTGCAGCGGCCAGCATGGTGTCTCGGTGCAGCAGAGCTTTGCGATTCCATGAGCAGTTACTCTCACCCATCCCTACAATCACATGGCAGACAGTTTTACTCTGAGGAGGTTAACATCACTGGACACCATCCCACCATCCCTTCCATCAGTCTTACATCAAAAGTATCCCCTTCTTATAGTCAACAGGTCTCTACAGATTATACCACCTGAGCTCCCTCATTATCAAATCAACTCAAACTCACTGTCCCCCGTCCGAACCGACTCCTAGCTGACCCTCGAGAGGGTTTCTGGAGGTAGTGAATCACAGGAGGAAACTGCCCATCTTTCTCCCAAGGAACTGTTGATGGATTCGAACCGCCAAAGAGGTGATAATTTAGGGTAGCAGCATATAAAGAAAGAAAAATTACTTGCAGACATCTTATTCTGATTTAAAGATTTTTCTTGCCAGGAGATTAAAAACTAACCATGAAGGTCTGACTGCAAAATGCTTAAGTATTGTCTTTTCCAATTAAAAACTGGTTATCAATAAAAAAATCCATTATCTGTGATATAATGGAAAAGATTATATGCTTATTTAAATTTGAAGACATTTAATAGCCACAATTGTGGAAAGCGACAAATGTTCAGCAGTTAGGGTTTACTCAGTAATCATTAATTATATGGTCACTACAGAAACTCGTATTTATAAAGAGAAAAAAATAACATGCTAGGAAACCTCTAATCCTCGGGAGCATTTTCCTTTTTTAAGAAAATCTATTTAATTAAAATGAAAGTTTACAAATCTCATTGTTTTTTTCAGACAATCATTAGGTGATACAATTAACTTATTCCAATGTCTTAAGCAAACTCTTACTGTATAATACTGTTCCCGTCACAAGATTTATGAATCTTATTTCCTTTCTCCCTGCCCACCTCTCCCCACCCTCATGTAAACTGTAGTGTATGTTCTGTTCCAGATTGCTGACTGTATACACACGTCTGATAATCTATTCATTTCAGAATGACCTTCCCTTTTGTCTATTCTAATACAGGAATTCTCCATTGTTTTCCTATTGTCCCTGTTCTCCTCTAACCTGATCAGGAGCATTTTAAAATTCATTTTCTTCATGCAGGGAAACTCATATACTTCCAATTTAGAAACCATTTATTAAAACACCTAACAAATGATAGTTTTATTTTGAACAATTCAAAGGTTTATTTTTTAACAATGCTAAGTACCTTCTTTGAGCCTCTCGTTTTTAGAAAGAAATTATCTCCTTGTACACATATGAATGTTCAGAATAAACAACTTCATTTTTTTCCCCACCATAAACTGTAAACTTATACAGCTCTAACACCAATGAAACCAAATTCATGGGCAGAAAGTGGCTGCAGAGTTTTATTTATGCCGTTTTTGACATCACATTCACTAGTTTCCAAAAAGTAAATGGGCAACACAAAGGCCTGTGTTTTTGATTATTTTTAAATTAAATAAACTGAAGTCTCATCATACCTTCAATGATCTTTCACTATTCTTTCAACAATCCTAAATCAAACTACATAAAGTCTCTTGGTATTTAGGTAGCAAAGAAGTCACATTTCTGAAGCAGCATGCTTTACTTGCCTGTAACAGTTTTAAGGCAGTTGGGCAAAAAAAAGGCACTGGCCTGCTAGGTGTTGTCAGTAGGTGGCAAGGGCCTTTCCAAGGCTGCCAGATCTTAGTCACGTTAGGGTGTTCTTTAAAGACAGCAGAGAGTACCTTGTCTCACTCTTTTAACCCGTAATTTTAAGTCTGATCTTAAAACAGTATGTAAAGTTTTGAAATAGGTTAACACATGGAAAGTGATCATGCATTTTCAGTTTTTACAGTATTTTACTGTATCAGGTTATGAAGATCTATGTATAATTTTTTCCCAGAATTATTTCTCAGTATTTAAAAATTTCAGATTTTTTTTTTCCTTCAAGTTGGTGCCTAATGCTCTTTTAGGTCTTTCTGTCACACTGAAGTACAAACACTACTGGGAACCAGAGACAGAAACCCTGCCCCTCACTAGGGAACTAGCCACCTCTCCTGAGAAACACAGACCCTGCCCAATGTGCCGCTGCTTGGGGAGAGGGAATCATGATCACCCAGGCACAAGTCCACTACTATCCTTATGCACTGAGACAAAGGTATATCTCTTTTAAACTCAGTTTCATCATTGTCAAAATGGAGTAATAATAAATATGTCACAACGAACTTTCACTGAAAACCACCAGAAACCACATGTGGCACTTCTGACTTGCTCTGGAATTCAGCAAAACAGGAAAATCTGGCCAATAGGTCCAAGACTGTCACAGTGTTTTTAAGGTCAAGTTCAAAAACATCAAAATTAATGATGGCGTGTAAGTTAAGAGGAACAATAGTATCACCTAAAAAAATATAACTGAACTTACCTTAGAAATCACTGTGAAAGTCTCCAAAATTTCTTATAAATTCATCAGTAGATATGAAACTTGTTTTGTAAAATTAGGTCAACATTCTGGACTTTTTTCTGTAAATTAATAACAATGGCAGCTTAAATGAGACATATCACCACCATCAAGAGAATGGTATGTAACAGAACTTAATAGATCTAAAACCAATTTGATAGCCGCACCAGTTTCCAGGAATTCCTCCATCCTCTTTCAATCCCCATGACTACCCTTTTTCCCTTCTTCAAAGACTAAGGATGATAGAAGAATTGATGACCTTGAGCTGTGGTGCTGAAGAAGAGTACTGACTATACCACGGACTGCTAAGAGAATAAACAGGTCCCTTGGAGGCAAGGATTTTGAAACTCCATCTGACACAGTTTGGGCATGTAGTAAGGAGTGACCAGTCCTTGGAGAGGGACATCACACTTGGGAGGGTGGAGGGGCAGCACAAGAGAAGGCGACCCTGGATGAGATAGATTGACTCAGGGACTGAGATAATGGGAGTAGGTGTGTCAGAAACAGCAAGGTTGGTTCAGGATAAAGCAGGGATCAGAGAGCTATGAGCTGGAGTTGATTCCATGGCACATAACAACAACCCACCCTTCTTTTCCCTGTCAGCTGCCTCTGTCCTAATTCAGGACCTTTACATGGACTAGTGTCAGGTCAGAATCGGAGTCAGACTGCTCATCTGGGCTTACATCCTGTCCTTGCTACTGTGAACCACCCATGAATCTGGAACCAAATAACCAGGTCTTCTCTCCCCAGAAGCAGCTAGCTGGTGGGTTCAAACTGCTGACCTTTTGGTTAGTTGCCAAGAGTTTAGCCACAGCGGCATTGGGGCTTTTCAATCCTGGCTACGCCACTTACTACATCTCCTAAAGGAAGTTTACTTAAACCCTCACGGTGCTTCAGCTTCCTTGTGCCTAACAGATTAACCATTTTAGCTCTGATTAAATCTAGAAGTCTCTTCTATCCTGCATCAACTTCCATCATTCCTCCCATGCCACCTACTCTGTAACTGTTATACTGTATCTGGAGATGAAAGGATGGATGAATCTTCTGCAGCTCTAGGATTTTCCATGGCAATTTCCTCACACTAGAATACAAAGTCCTTTTTGCCTTGATATGAACTTTTGCTTCTCCTGGCAAATTCATTAATGCAATAGCTTACCTGACTCCCTAAGCAGAATAAAGGTTATTTTATACTTGAATTTCTCACTGTACTCTAAAAAATAAACATCTCATATTATAGTAGATGATGTATATGTCACTGCCTTGTCTTTTTATCTCTGTGTGACCTTTTCTCTCCACTAGACCATGAGCTCAGGTTCAGGAATTAGGTATTTGCACGGCAGCCGCCCAGCATTTGGTTTAGTGGTTGACATATGGTTAAGTGCTCAATAAACAATGAATAAACACACAATCAACCAGCTATTGCTTATTTCTTCTTTGTTAAATAACTTGTTACACAAGTTATGTTTAGATAATTCCTCTTAATCCTCCACTACTACAAGAGCCACATCAAAAATTTAAAGGCATGGTTTGTGTAAGAGGCTTTACAGCAAAAACAAAAGTAGAACAAGAGTGTTTATTAAAAGTTAGTATTAGATAGGAAATGACAATTTCTAACAAAAGGTGCTGACAAAACTGAGCATCTGCCACCGAAGAGCCGAGAGGATCCACATCTTACTCTCTATAAAAATCCCCAAAGTGGGTAAGAAACCTAGTGGTAAAACCAAGACCATGGAGATCATCAGAGAAAAAGCCAGAACAAATTGAGAAGCCCTGTCTACAGTAAAAATAGGCTTGCAAACATAGCCAAAATGCTCAAGCAGGAAAGGATAAAAGCAACAAAAGGGACCTTCTAAAAATCAAATTCCTGTGCACATCGAAAAGTTTTTCCAATAGGGTGAAAAGGAAGGCCATAGCCTGGGGAAAAAGATTTGACAATGACATTTCAGACAAGGGTCTCATAACTAAAACTTAGAGAATACTTCAAGGCCTCCAGAAGGAAAAGCCTGATAACCCAAATTACAAAATGGGTAAGACATAAAAGGGACCTTTACTATGAAGATATTCAGATGGCTAACAAACACACTAAGAAATGTTTAAAATTACCAGCAATCAGAGAGATGCAAATCAAAACAACAATGAGATGCCATCTCAATCCAGCAGCAACAACAAAGTTTAACAGGACAGGAAGAAATAAGTGTTGGAGACGAAGTAAAGATTGGAACTCCCATGCATTGCTGGTGGGATTATAAAAATGGTACAACTACTATGATAGGCAGTTTGGCATTTCCTCAAAAATGTGAGTATATAAAATCCCATATGACCCAGCTATTGCACTACTAGGAATATACCTCAAAGGAAATGAGAGCTGAGACACAAATGGAGATATATGTTCACCTACATTCATTGTATATTTCATTTTAATACTTTGTCTTCCCACAATGACCTTTGAAATATCCTTTCAGCTTCTTTACTTCTAGATTTCTTCCCTTTGGTTTGGCTTCTCGGCACTCTAGTGCAATATTCAGAGTCTCTTCTGATATCCATCTTGGTCTTTTCTTCCTCCTCTGTTTTTGTAATGACCTTGAGAAGAATGAGAATCCCAAATCACTGGCTTGTGCTTA